GAACGTCGAATCTGAATCACTTGAAAAAAACACGGGGGTGCTTAACTTTTTTCCAGGTGTATAGTAACAAAAACTTATAATGAATGTTAGCTTTCCCAGTTAAAAAATTAACATATTGAAATATTTTAATTTGGAAAAGAATTCCTTTTTAAATGAATCTGAAATTATCGTTCATAACTCATTTGAATCTCAATCTAAAATTCACTGTAGAAGGACATTCTAATTTTGAGAAATAATGTAATGCAAACAGAAATAATATCATCATTATAAGTATATAAGTTGTATGAGAACCAAACATTATGGATGCTAATCATAAAATTAGGCATAAGTATGGCAGAACAAAAAATATTGTAATTTAAAACTTCTTAACAAATGGTCATGTTTCTTAATAAATAATGTCATTTTGTGTTATTTCATTACCACATAAAATATGATGATCATACTAAACACTGTAATGGACCTTCTCGTGTTTATGAGTGTAAAATTAAGGCTTGTGGGTTAATCAAAATTTAGCGGAGTTACCACAAATCTTTCAACATATTTAAAACTTGTTAGTTACTGCAAGTGATCAGAAAGTAAAAGATCTTTGTTGAAATAAAATCCTGTCAGTTGCAGCAAAATAAGTGTTTGACCTTATATATATTTGGGCAACTTTTTTGTAGCTGAACTCTAACACTTGGCTGAAATTAGTGGTACTGTTGTATACATTATCAGGTTCAAGTATAGTTTTACTGTTTTTACATTGATATGAGCCTGCACAGCATAGTTGTTTTTGTTTATTTTTTGTTAAGTATTTACTTAACTGATAATTAATTATAGTTTTAAGGTTGCAAATTATCTTTTTTTTTTCTCTTTGAGAAATTACATTTAAATGTTGAAAGATAACTTTCAGTTTTTATAAGACTGACTTTTTTTGTGTGTACTCTATTTTTTTGTACCTCTCATGTGATTGTTTTACTTTATTTATACTTACAATGTAAGCAGTAGTAGTAAGTTATCATATAAACTAAACTACATGTACAACCTAAATTTTGTTTCTGCATTTCAGACCTCCAGCAATTATCAAATGTGGAATGATTGGATGTAATCAGCCTAAGAAATATTCCTGCTCTAAAACAGGAGTTCCACTCTGTAGTCTACAGTGTTACAAAAGGAATCTGATGGCTTTCCAGAAAACTGTACATAATTCTGTCATTGTTGCTTGAATGGTTCTCTTAGAAAGTGGGATTTTCATTTTGTAGTTGCAAGTGATACAAAACAAATTCACAGTTTTGTTGGAATCTGGACAAAATATTATGGGTACTGCTTAACCAGAGAGGAAACCGTGTTGAAAAGCCTGATTGAATAAATATTTGAGAATTAAAGCCATGCAATAGTGATTACATAAAGAACACTATAGATTTTCAGAAGAAAGTCTGTAGTATTCATAATAAGGAAAATTATAGTTAATGAATCCATTGGTAAGGAAAGTTGTGCAGCATTTATGTAAAAAGGCTATTGATTATTTCTCAAAAGAAATAGTACCACTAACAGTCATATCTACTATTGCGTAGGTATCAGGAGAACAGGATCTTCAAAAAAAATAATTTTATTCAGGATATAAACATAAATCTTTGGAATTAAATCTGGATACCTTGGAACCTCTTTTGTACACATCTTTATATTGTAAGAGACCTGGAAATTTTTTTATAGTAAGTTTTGTCATATTGGTGTGTCTCTAACACATTGACTGCAGCTGCTTTAAATGCACGTGCAGAATTTTTGCAAGCTGTACACTGTATGTGGCACACTTGCATTCAACTGCTGGCGGTGTACATTACCCTATATGGTGAATCAGCAGTCAGTGGATTAAAAAAAGAAAAAACAAAAAAGGACTGGTTATTTAAAAATTCTTTAAAGATGTTGATGCACTACTGTTAAATCAAAAGTTCACTTCACTTATGCTTTAAGCTAAGAATTAAGTGGAAGAAAGAATATATATAGTATGAACTACCTCATTTTATTGGTAAGGTTACTGTGCATGACATACATGTATCACTAGACTACTACAATTTCAATAATGTGGTAAAAGAAAACTAACAATTTGAATAATGTTTCCATCTTTTGTTAGTTTTGCTGTCACAATGAACTTAAACATATTTCTTTCCTAACTTGAGTTCATATGTAATGCAGAAATGCTGTGTCTGTGTTTTACTCTTTTGTTAATATGCATCATGAACTTGTGAAAATATTAAGTATCCAAGTTGGCACCATTTCATTATATATATATATATATATATATAAACATCAGCTACTTTACAAAAGTGCCTTCTGTTATCTAATTTAGTCAGGAACAAATCCATAAGATAGTCTTGTTAGCATATAGTGAGGTACAAATCCATAAGACATGATGAGATGATGTCAGCTTGCTGATGCCACAATCATACTTTGAAAAGAGTCAAATCATTAATATTGTGTATTTTAGTAAAAGCAGACTGAGTACTGTCTTGTGTGTTTGTAAAGTTTTTTGTAACACTTTGTGTATTTAAAGTTTCACAAAATTAATAGTTATAATATTAATGAAAATGATGAAAGGTAAGTAGAATTGTATAAGAATTGGAACCCAGTGGTAAACAGCTAATTCTGTTAGTCTTTATTTCATAGGTCTGTGGACTGTTGTGCAAAATTGTGTGTGAGAAATCACACAAATTTGTAGCTATTCAGTAGGGTTTAGACTCCATATGCATTTGAAGTAATATGTTTCTTAAAGTAAAAGATGTTCTCTCAACAAATAGAGAACAGTGTAAACTTTTAACCCAAAACAGTTCTGTCAAATACTTATTATATTTTGAACATTTAATCACTGATTCATTGTTAAGTTCTCACATTACCTTATATTTATATGTACTCTACATATACATATAAAGCATAAATGGGAAAAAATGTATTTTATCTTTATCTAATTAACAATTACTTTGAAAGAATTGTGTTTCTTGACCTTTAGAAATTTATTTATACTTAGAGAAATTGAAATGTTGATCATATATTTGTTTTTAGTAAAAGACAAAAACATTTACAAAATTCTTTGTAATAACATTTTGTCTGTGAAGAATTTGGTAGCATAAAGAGTGACATCCTTGCTGATATGTCATTACAAAAAGAACTAGAACATTTGAAAATGCCATGATAAGATACACAGTAGTAAAGCAGTAAGTGGAAATACTCAGTGTTTATATAGTTAACTTTCTATGGGAAAAGAGTATTGAAAGTTGTCTTTTGTTGTTCTGTAAAATAAATTTTCTTTAGAATGAAAAATATGGTTTGTTCAACTCTAGCATATTGGATTACTAATATGTTATAAAGTAAGGGTTATAAAAAATTAACATCAAAAAAATTAACTTGAAAAAGCAGCTGTATGGCATTATAATGGTTTTAATGAACCTGAATTGTATTCTGAATTCCTAAGATGTAAATTAAGTTATTACTAAATTATGTGCAAGGTCAAAGCAAACAAAATACTTGTAAAACTAGTTATCTTCAGAACTTAAATTCATGTTAAAATTAGTTTTTAAATGGTGTTATAAACTAAGATCATAATGTAGAAGTGACTAAACTTCGAACATATTAAAAAGTTTTTGTTTTGCTAAGTAAGCTTTGAATGGTTAGTAAAATAGCTTTTACACATTAGTTTTAAGTAAAATGTATATCAATAAGATTAGTCATAAATGGTTCTGTTATACTGTATCAGACTACTTTTCATAGAAGTTTACTTGTTTGACATATCATTGTAGTGTTTTAATTGTTTAGTAATGCTCATGTTGTAAGTAATCTGCAGTTTTTTAAATATTCTTACTTAATGCTTTTCTTTTTCCATGTTCCTGTGCATTTTATATGATATTGTATCATTCTTGATTAGTGAACCCTGTTATAGTATCTGTATGTTTTGGCACTTTTCTGTAAATAAATTTGTATCATTAATTCTTATAGTAGAGTTAAATAACATTAAATGACAACAAGGAACACTTTGGTCCATCTAGGTCATTCTGTTTATTAAATTACACACTAAAAAATACAAAGCTAGCCCTCATCATTCAAAACTTTATCAAGCTTTCCCTTAAATTAACTATACATACCATATATGAAGGCAACCTGTTCCACAGGCCAACCACCCTGTTAGAAAAATAAATCTGTCTCAGCTCAACATAACTCTTACCCTGCCAAAAGTTATATTTGTGTCCCCTAGTCTTACCATTAATGGGATTACTAACTAAAGCATATTTGTTGACAGCATGTAATTCTGAAACAGTACTACTCTCCCCCATAACTATCTTGATCTTCATTTGCCCTTTAGGCATTGGTAAAGTTTTGAAAAGTGCACCAGTCTTTTATACCCCTATATGTTTGCATCATTGCAGCAACATCTGCTGATCATGTGACCACCCACCACCAATCCCATTGTGCCTTCTATACTAGCACAGGTAGCTCCCTCTACTCTTGCAGCACAATCCTCACTTTCTTGATTGCCATTCTGGTGTATGGACGTGTGGAGCCTATTCAATCAGGAGTTTACTCCCATCCTTCTTTGTCTCCCTATACACGGGAGTTTAAAGTCCCTTTCTTGATCTATCTTAGCTGTATACTATCTGCTGTTGCCTTACTTCACCATGGAGTCCTACATGTCACTTTGGTGGTTTTTTATGTTCTAGTGTCACATTCTGTTCTTTTCCTCTTTACCTTTCTGTTCTGGGCACTCACAGACTGTCTTTATTCAGCTCTGTATGTGTTTTGTGGAGCAATATACTCTTTTGCATGTCATCTTCACTCGTTGGTTCTTCAGACTCACATTTCATGGGTGACAGGCTTCTGCTTGCCCCTTCCTGTGCCCGGTCAGTCACTCACACCTGCTTCCTTCTTCAAGAAGCTTCTCAGGTGGGTTTCTTTTCAGGTTGGAGAAGACCTTTACTACCCCCTCACTGTATCTTATTCATATGGGGGTTCTCTTCACTTTCTTGTTTAATCAAGCCCAGCCTTTTCCACTTTGGCTCCAGAATATCGAGTGGACAGTCACATTTCCCATCCATTCTCCTCTCTATGTTTGTGAGGTTCTCTCACTTTTGGGATGTGGCCTTCTTTGGAAGTGCTCATTCTCTTTAGTTGGACACACATGCATTCCCTTCATTGGATGCTTCTTGACCAGTGGAACTTCCTTCACGATCCCTTGTGTCATTCCATTTCCCTGAGTTTTTGGATTGGTGGTCAGTCGAAGAAGCTACTCTCTATATCCATATCCTAGTACCTTGGCAGTTCATTGGGCTCTGTATCCTTTCCTCTCTTTCTTGCAGGGAAGAATGGTTTTGGTTATTTCTGCAATTCAACTATCGTGAACTATATCACCTGGAAAAGGGGAACCATGATCTCTGTCTGGTTTGACTCTGGATTTCATGTACTGGGCCAATGACCTTGACTATTCTGGTAGGTCATGTTCCCCAAGTTCTGATTCTTGTGGACGATATTTTATAGCATCCCCACCAGGTTCTCCACTGAGTGATTTCTTCATCAATACATTTTTCTGTGGGTGTGTTCTCAACTGGGAATACTGCATATTTGTATGTGTTCCCCATTAACTGGTATGTGACACTTTCTTCATTTTAGTCTTCAGTTCTTCACCTTTCAGCTGTGGAGATAGATGATTTCAGTCAAGATCAGAAAGGTCTTCTCCTATATGCCTACTCTTCGATTTTACTCATCTTCTGGGTTTTTTCCCTTATCCAGACCAAACTTTGTTATGCTCTGCTGGTTCTTCTGTATTGGCTGCTCAGATGTGGTTCCCTCTACTCTGGCCATTACTGAAGCGATGCACCTTATCCCTTGCTCTGTCCTATCCACTCATCAGTCATGTGCGATCTGACTTTTTTTCATCCAGATGTCTCTACACTCCTTCTTTCAAAATGACTGTTCTCCAGTCAAGTGTCTCAGCTCAGGGAATTGCCCCTATATGCCTACCCTCCATTCAGACTCTTCTTTTAGGTATTTTCCCTTATGTAGACCCCTCCTTGTGTTCTGTTGGTTGCTCTGTGTTGGCTAGCTCTGACATGGTTCCCTCTACTCTGGCCCTTTATAGAGCAACAGACCCTGCTCCTTTCTCTGTCTGCCCAAATTGGTCGTTTTCATCCTGATGTCACCATACTCTATATTTCTGCGGGTCTTTTGCCTGGTACCATGCTTCGTCTTTCACATTGTCACATCTTTCATTGCCTACATCTTTCACCCATCCTCTTTGTCCATGTACCAAAGGCATATCTTGCTTCAGTCTTTTTTCCAGGGCTTCCATATCTCCTGTACTTCTGTTCCTCACCTGTCCCAGCTCTTCTTCTGGTTATTTGTTTGTTCAGGGTTTGTCTGTTTCAACTGTTGCTCTTTATAGAGCCACCCTGTTGAACTCCCTTTTTTCTCTCTCTTCCAGAAAGTTTCTCTTTCCCAAGTTGTTTCATCTGGTCCATTTGATACACTTCCTTTGTTCTGCCAGATTGGGATCTCCATATTGTTCTTCCTATTCTGTTCAGTTCTCCCTAAGAACCCATTACAATTTTTTCCTTGTAAGATATTTTTTCTTATGACCTCAATCCTCCCCCTCCTGGCATGCAGTCTTCATTGTTCAGTTTTTTATGCCATCCTTTACCATTTCTCTTATGTTTTTCGTTATCCAAATCCGGCATTCCTTCCCTGGACTTTCGGCTGCCAGAGTAGGTTGTTTTGCCTTTTCTTCTTTTCCCTTTTCCACCTGTATTTTCATTCATTTCCAGATCATCTCCATTGTCCAATTTATTCCCTGCTCTGTTGTTTGGCTCATACTTTCTCCTTTCGTTGTTCTTGTTCCTGTTTCATTGTTTTGTGGCATTCCTGTTTTACCTAATCTTTATCCTATTACACTCACGTGTTGGGTTTGTTAACTCCTATGTCTGACGTATTTGGATTTGTCCCTGGCTGGTCACTATCTACATATTGTTTCTTCACATCTAATTTGTTATCTAACTCTGTCTTTAGCTGCTCGACACTAATGTCATTTGGAAAGGTTCATTCAGGCTGGTATGTGGACAACTCCCTATATTTTCCTCATTCTTTCTCAGCACAACTTTGCTGTGTCTTCCATTGGCAGATATCATCTCTCTCATGTGATAATTCTACACACATCTGTTCACTTGTGAATGGGGTGAGTCGTAATTTTCTCTTTTATCGTTGCATATACATCATATTTCAGGATCCCATCTGGTGGTGAGTGTTACCTGATCTGGTATGCTGAATTTTATATCTTAGCACTATATCTGTATACTTTTCCAATGCTCACTGTGGAGATGGGGTGTTTCTGTATGACTGCTGGATGCTTTTCCGGTGGTGTATCTATATCTATATATCACATTTTTTCATTAATAGATATATATCCTGAGGACCGTCACTCATGGACTTCCAGAGTAAAGCAGATAGGGATTTTTGCTCATCCCTATTGACCCCTGATTCTTACAATTTGGGTCTTTCTGCTTTTCAAAATAGGGAAATGCAGACACCCATTGCATCAGTGAGTTTTGTACAATAACACAATCTCATAACTATATGTACTCACTTGATGGGAAGAGGGCTATCATCATTATGCTGCATATTATACACAATATGGCACAAAATCTATTATGCAAGACACTTTAACTAGATGTTTTCTGCCCAGATGGACTGCACTTGACATAATCCAATGTATATCAAGGGGCTTCCCCTGTATGTTTTTGCCCAGGTGTACTGCACTTGGCATAATATGTCATATTCCAAGGCACTTCTCCTGGATGTTTTTTGCCTGAGAGGACTGCACTTGGCCTATTCATATATGGTCCTCTAGCCCTAGCCACATATTCTGTTCATTTCCACCTAACGTGTCTTATCTTCTTTACTTGGTGAAGAACATACCTGTTCCAGATATAGTGCTATACCCCACAGATGTGCCTTGTATTTCATAGTGATTGCTCTCTGCTTAATTATTTGTTTACGTACCTTTGCTGGCCCCTCCACCTTTCCAATGTGGGATTCTAGCTATGGGGGAATGTAGGTAGTACCGTTTCGAAAGTCAACATTTTCTAACACTGAAAATGTAATTCTGATAGGTGCTTTCGTGGTTGTATATGCCAATTCTCAAAAGTGAGGATTGTGCCAGTATAGAGGGTGCAATGGGATTGCTGGAGGGTGGTCACATGTTGATGCAATGACACAAAAAGTGTAGGGGTATAAAAGATTGGTGCACTTTTTAAAATTTTACCAATGTCTAGAAGGCAAATTAAGGTCTAGATAGCTATTGGCAAGTTGAGGTAAGTACCTATCGGAAATACATTTTCAGTGTCAGAAAATGTTAACATATCGAGTATTTTTAAAACTGATTAAGAAGAAATGGAGAATTTGTATGCTGAGCACAGATTAGTCAAACTTGACCAAAAGAAACAGACTACACACAGATTTTTGTTTTCACTTTAAAACAAAAACAACACATGATATATATATATATAGCCTGCATATATTCCAAACAGCAAGTCAAGGCTCACACTCTGCTAGGACTTCCCAGAACTACATCATAAAATCAGTCTTAATATTTAAAAGAGAAACAAAGATTGACTCCATTAGGTCGCTCTGAAAGTAAGAATTGAAAGTTACTTCTGACTTTTCTATCTGTATATCACATGGTCTAGTCTCCAGAAATTCTGCTTCAACTAACTTGATAGGTTCAGTTAGTGGAATAACCTTTCACTTCAAAATATCACTTCATAGTTGGGAAAGAAAGGACCACAACACCCTTTTAGATCTTGATCTACCAACCAACTACATTTTCTGTCATTATCAACCAGCTAAAATGTGATGTCTTGTAGACAGCTTAAAAAGTAAGAAATGCCACATCTTGATGGTCAGTCAACTGACCATCTAACTGCTGATCAAGCATTAATCCCAGT